TTACGTCGAATATTAGTAAAGTATACGAGACTTCGTTGAATATTAAGAGACACATATTTCAAAAAACCTTATGCAAAAATAGTAAACATATGAAATAATGTTTGTCGCGAAAGATGGAGCACAAAGCGACGGGCTATTGTAGAGCCAATACGACCGGCTTTCTTGTGCCTCTCTCAAGGAGAAGGAACTCGGCGATTCGAAGTGAGAAGGCCGGCATCTCTGTGGATTTGAGACATACACCACGGAACGAAATTCTAGCATATATATTGTTATTATAAGAAATTAAGTCATAGTAAGAATCGAACTGTTAGAGAATTCCGATTGCCGGTGTTCCCTCACCTACCACAGAGGCTCGGCAGAGCTTTTCTATATTCAGAACTCCTATACTAAGATGGATCCTCGTAACCTGAGATCATCTTCGAGAGCGTCGATCGCTGAGCGTCCAGAGACTCCAGAAAACGGAGAGGATGCTACGACCGTACGATGGTAGATATTGACAGAGAAGGGAGTTTGAACCGGAGAACTGATCAGATAAGAATTCCAAGCCGGGTCTTTGAGTACCGATCGAATGTAAAACGCTCCGGATGTTCAAGCTATAGTACTGATCTGGTAAGAACTCATAAGCCGGGTCTTGAATTATTGATCTAAGGCCAAACCGTCCTTCCGTCGACGACCGATTGATTGATCGCTTTCTGTTTCTTGACCGTATCGATTAATGATGGATTCGACCACCTCTAACCTAGAAGTGTTGATTAGTCTTGATGTTTGGGTACTGACCTTCCTATACATGGAACTTTTATCGCCAATATTTATTTTTCGTAGGTATCAACAGCGGATCGTAGCGTTGTCGATTTATTCACCAGGACTCGCATTTTATTCTATTGTACATATTAAATAGCAGTTAATTTTATTTTGTTATTTATTTTGAATATATTTTTATTTACATTAAACTTGTATTTTACTGAGTCTGGTGTCTAACAGAGCTACCTGCCACAAGTTAACCGCCATAACTCTAGGTATTGGCCAAATAAGAATCCTCATTGGATTCTTCAAGCACATACCCAGCATCCAAAAATGTTGAATGTTTGGTGTAATTGTCCAAAACAGGCTTCTATAGGCCCATCTTCATAAACAAAAACTTGACTAATATTTAGATTTACTAAATAACCAAATTAATCCTGCACTTCAAGAGAATTACTAGTTATCACAAAATTTTTGTTTCAACAAAATGGAGCGCCTCCCAAATATTATCGACCGATAGAGATTTTTAAATACGAATTTTCCAAATCGATGGATTAAAGTAGAGCGGCCTGCTCATTTTCCGGACCTTAACCCGTGAGTTTTTTTTGTATAGAGTTGTCTAAAATCACATTAGGCGACCAATATAATGCAGAATTTGAGACGAAGAATTATTAGTGAATGTGAACTAATACGTGGAAGTCTAGGAAAGAGCGACTAACAAATTTATTAATAGGATTACAATTTTTAAAGTGAACTTTTTATATTATTATTGTGATCAGTCTTAGTAAATAAAATTGACCTATTCTTTAACTGTAAAGTGCTTTATTCCTTATTTTAACCAAATTTTTCTACCAAACTTGGTATGTACCTATGAATTAGAAATAATCAGTCTTTTTAAAACCCCCAAAATAATACAGGTTGTTCCATTTAAATTAAATAAATTGAAGGTGAACCGGAAGTAGACTATTAAAAAATATATCGCGTCAGATGCGTAATGTGTCATTGTACCTGCATGCAAAGTTTCATGAATATCGTCTTTTTCGTTTCGAAGATATTTACTTGTTTCTATATTTTAGACCAACACTGTATGTCTGTAAGAGTTTACAGAAGGCACGGCATAATATATCTTCAGACCCGCTACCCTGTGTTTTCTAAAAATATTTACTTGGTTCCATACTATATCCCATAGTATTCTACATAACCATAAGAATTTTAATTTTTGCGAATTTTCGGAACATTTCAAAAGACTAATTTTATAACTCAATCGGAATATTCATACAAAATGGCTGGCACGTGCATATTTCAGTATAGTATATTACAATACAATATTGCTTGATAAAAAATATCTAAACGAATTTTTTTTTCGTAAATATATACTACTCTCCAAAATTAAGGCACCACCTTAACTGGAGCATGATTTTGAAACCATATTTCTTCTGAACCCTTAATTGGATTTCGATGATTTGTTTTTCATATTGTAGGTATATTTCTAATTAATTACTATATTTTTTACAATGTTACAATGTTTTAACTATACACGGGGTGTAAAAATAAAGTTCTGCTTTTTCATCTAATTTTATTAACACCCTGTGGAATGTATTCGAAACAAACGCTACATCTAATTCATATTTCAACATTTTCGTAAAAAAATCGTCTTGATATCTCTATCATCAAAAATTATCAAAAAAGAAAAGTATGTTCAAAGCATTACGTGATTTTCTACTCTCCAAAATTAATGCACCCCTTCAAATGTACTTTTAAGATATTTTTCGATTAGATTTCGATGATTTCTTTTTTCGCATTGCTGATCTACTTCTAAGTAATTACTGTATTAATATTTTCTAGGAAATGTCAAAGTTTCAACCATATACGGGGTATAAAAATAAAGTTGTTTTTCTTCTTACTTTGCATCACCATGTGGAATTTATTAAAAGCAAACGCTATATCTTATTAATATTTCGAGATAGCTTTATTTTTTTCAACATTTTCGTAAAAAAATCATTGATATATTTATTATCAAATAAGAAAAGTACGTTCAAGGCATAACGTGATTTTATTGAATCATAATACTCATTAATGAAAGCAGTTAGTTGGCTATGAAAAATCAAACAATTTGACAGGACAGTCAATATTATTTGTAATTCAATAAATAAATTTTTTCTGTTTTGCGTATGTTAGTTGACAGGAAACGTATTTCACGAAATTTGAGTCGAGATGAATGTATTCAGGCAATTACTTTAGCTGATGTAGGGTTAAGTTATCTCATACTACAATATCACGAGTCATTCAACGTTTTCGAGAAACAAACGACCATACGAGATGGCGTGGACAAGAAAGAGGAAGACTCACAACACCACGCCAAGATAGGTTTATCAGGCTTCGTACTATATGAGAATGTTTTGTCACAATAAGACGTTTACAAATACAAATGGCAGATATTGAAAATATTTAAATTAGTAAAAGCACCACATAACACCGTCTCGCTGAACAACATCTGCATGTAAGGATAAACAGTCAGGGCTCCAGCTTTAAACGTACATCATCGTAGAAGTGGATTACAATTTGCCAGAGAGCAATTTAAGTGATCAATCGAGGTATTGCTAATATAGCTCAGATAGACGTGTGAGAGTTATTCGACAGCCAGAGCACGCTACGCACAGAGTAACATAGGCCCTATTACTTTATTCAATGGAGGATCTGTAATGGTTTGGGGAGGAATATCTCTTACAGCGCGAACGGACCTTGTTGCTTTACGAAAAGATTCCTTAACAAGTGTAAGGTATGTTACAGACACGCTTGTTAACGCTCAACCACACGTTGCACGTGTGGGGACCGTGATTATTTGGACGAGGTTGCAATACAAACTATGAACTGACCACCCTGCAGCCCTGATCTAAATCCCATAGGGAGTTTGTGGGATATTACTGATTGCCAACTCAGGAGCCGACAAACACCACCTATCTCTCTTCACGACATAGAAGTTATGGTGAGAGAAGTTTACGATGAAATTGATCAAGACGAAATAAGTTGCTTGATTTTAAGCATGCCTTGTCGCTGTGAAGAAGTAGTTAGATGTAGAGGTGGAAATATTTGTTATAAAGTGTTTTTGGGAGAGGGAATTGCTAAAGATTATTTAGGTTATGTTTTCTTAGGCTTTAGTTGTATTAAATGTCAATAAAGTTTATGTAAGTAGTGTTTTCTTTGCTTTAAATGTTAATAAAAACCGTAAAATAGTTTCGAAACACAATTCAGATTTCCGCTTTTATCTGTGCTTTCTAAAAATTGCAAAGCAAAACAGACGTTGATAAAGGTGTTAAAAGAGACGTGGGGAATCTAAAATTTGCATTCCACGACACATCTTTTCAACTAAGCAGAAATCCTTAGCGAATTGGTTTCTATAGTACTCGTACAGAGTAAATCCGAAAAAAGTGAAAAAGACAGCAAATATTTGATTTCACGCAAACAGCGCCTTTGTATCTGTTGATACGTATTTCGACCAAATAGGTCCCATGTTTTGCTTTATACAATTTTTAGAAAGCACAGATAAAAGCGGAAATCTGACTTGTGTTTCGAAATTATTTTACGGTTTTATTGTCAGATGTCGCTATTGCGTCCGTATTGAAGCCATTTTAGTGTTGCTTCCTAAAAGACAGAAAATATTGATCTTTCACGTTGAGAACACCTTTGAATAACTGTTCTGATGAGACCTATTAGGTCGAAATACATATCAACAGATACAAAGGCGCTGTTTGCGTGAAATCAAATATTTGCTGTCTTTTTCACCTGTTAATAAAAACTTTATTACATTTAAAGTTCTGTATAATCTTTGATCATAGAGATATCGAGATAATTTTTTACAGGGTATTGCAAAATACGACGAAAAAATACAACTTTATTTTTACACCCCGTATGCGGGTAAAAAATTCATATTTTTCATAAAACATTATTTGGGTTATTTATTAGAAATAAACCTATAAGATGAGAAAAAAAATCAAAATCCAATCATCTGTTCATAAGAAAAATAGCTTCAACCTTAGGGTACATTTAAGGTGGTGCGTTTTTTAATTGTAGGCAGTAGTGTATTTCAGTTTTACGTCATTCACATTAAAATTGAATAGAATGGTTTTATTAAAAGGATTTACTAGTGCAAAAAAGATAAACTATAAAAAAGTAACTAAATAAGCCATAATAGAATAGAGAGAAAAACGAAAGTAAAAAGAAAAGATTCGTGCTCAGCGTGCTAATTATCTAAAACTTACCTCTAAGAGTGTTTAATTTAACGATCCAATTGTACACTTCAACCTCTATTAACTTAAAAACTTTGAAATTATCTTGACGACGAATTTCCTAACGAATCGAATGGAAGAGGGGGTCCATTGCGTTGGCCTGCAAGATCCATAGATCTTACTACTTATTTTAATTATGGTTTACTTACAACATATACTAATTCTAAATACCTTTCTTTGGTTTAAACCTGCTTACAAATTGTAAGAAATGTGAGTTGTTTATATTCGATAATATTTCACGTCACATGAGCACTATTTTGACTAAGCAATACGTAAAAATATTTATGGAAAGAAATCCTCTGAATTAAAAACGAAATTCAAAAAAGATTGGGATAAAATAATTTCCCAAAATAACAAACCACAATATAAACTTTTATCAAAGTTGTTCAAATTGTATGATAACTTGCAGTATAAATTTGAATAAATAAATGCCAAAACGTGGATATGACAATATTGTAGCATAGGATATAGATGGAATATACTTAATACATTATACACAAGCATATACAGGAATATATGATTTGGGCCTAGAAATAAATTTAATTTTCCCAATACATGTATATTGAATTGAGGGAACAACACGATTGAGCTCGAAAAAAAAACAGTATCAATGTTATATGGAGTATTATGGAATAGGACAATGAACAAAGGGAATATATACATACTATAGTGAAAACAATTGCAAAAAGTGGTGAGTGGAACCCCAAATCAAAGGAACGAAACGAAGCACCACAAAGAGCTTGAAAGAAGGTGTCGATAAAGTGATTAGAAAGGACATAGGTCTCTCAATCTGTCATTTATACTATAGAGTCATAATCACCCGCTTTGTATCCTTCAGATAATTTCAATGTAAATTTCCTTCACAGATATATCTTGTCTAACATTCTTAACCCACGCTTTCTTATTTTAACAATTATTCTCTTGGCTATTCTCATTTCACCCATCAGGTGTTATTCCTTTCTTTTTTATGTGTTTGGCTATTTTAGTTGATATTTTGCCTGTATATGTAATTGAGCAGAAGGTACTGGGTTTTTTCTCTGGTGGTGGAAATCAACACCAGCTTTCAGAACAAATAACAACTTGGGCAAATATATTAAAAACAACAAGAGCCAAAATAAAAAGCACACAGTGGTGTATACTAACTTAAATGTGGCAACTGCCCAAAAACTTACATCAGTCAAACTGGTAGAAATTTTAATAAACTAATTGCAGAACATAAAAGGGATTTCAATAATAGAAAAACAGAATTTAAAATTCTTCATATTCAAAATAAAGGCCTTAAGCTATCTTTGTTACAATCTATGGAAATTAACAAATTAAAAAACACAGACAGAATTCTGAATGACCAACTTGAGACAAACAGTTTTCCCCTCCTCAACCTATTTCATTAAAGACTATAAAGTGTAAACGCACGCCAAAAATAAATCACTTGAGAAAGGCAATCAGCCGAAACAGCTGTTAATATTTTATAATAAATTTTGTGGATGTGTTGAAAACAAAGTTTTCAGTGTTTTATTGTTGAATTTCCATCAAGTAACGGTCGAATCCATCAATTAATTAATATTTTTGTGCAATCTCTATTATAAACAAGTTGAAAACTAAACACTACATTTTGTGTTCTTTGTATGTATTCTAAATTTATTAAATTAAGTCTACTAAATTTTCCCATTTGATTGCATGTTTTTTTTTATTTTCAGCACACAGTTAATCCGTTGCAAAGACGACTTAGGTTAGCTAAGACCGTTTTTTTATGCATATATATATATTTGTATTTCGTTAATATTTTTATTCAATTTTGATATCCATATCACATTTTTAAGTCTTTCTCCTTGTTTTATGAATATGCCATTTCTGTTTTTTTTTTTAATTCAAATATTTAAAAACTAGGGCGCCTTTATTTGAATAGTTATTCTCTTCCCTGTTCTTTTTGTCGTTTTAATATCTTTTTTTGTTTCTCATCTCTATGAACGACGTTGCCCATAATCTACCAGGACTGTTCAATATATATGGTACAAGGTCAAGATCTAATCAATGGCATAGTAATAACAAATGTTAATGTTCACCAATACAATGACGCCAAAACTTAGAAAATTCGTCTATTGGTTACTTATAAAAACTTAAAATTCAAACCTCGTATATGCAAAATACAAAAGACTCTCTAAAGTATACATACAAATCAGCAACTGAACAAAATTTCTCACAACCACGGAATATCTCAACCAATCGATATAAACCCGACTTTGTCTACGATACACTCAACTCACCCACTCAATTTGAAAAGTCAAACCAAACGAAACGAAACAAAATAAAAACATTTTTCCAATAGTGCTATGACGAAAATATTATAGAATTGTAAAGTAGATTTATTCCAGTACATATAATTTGTAACGCTCATTGTAATGCCGCGAATAAAGTTAATATAACATTTAAATAAAAAAATGAAATGGCAAATAAAGTTTGTAAGAAACGTAAACAATTTTAAAATCGCAACGAACAAAAAAAAAGTTCAGCAAAAAGAAAAAATGAATATGAATTGCAGAAGCGACAACAGTATGGAAGTATCAGAAACAATAACGGTGATTTTTTAATTAAGGAAAACTCTCATGTAGTTTATGAGATGACTATGATCAAATCCAAAACATATTAAACATAATCCTTGTGATTATATTGAAAAGGAGAAAGTTTCACATGAAAATTAACTGCAGAGCCACCACCTATAAAAATTAGTAAAAGCATAGATAATTTATCGAAATTGTTAATGTAACCATTATGAAATGAAGCAATGAATAAGTTGCTAATGTTAGAAAATACAGAAGCTTTATTTAAAAGTAAATTTATCATAAATTGCTAGCAAAATATAAGTTGTCTATTAACTTATTTTATTAATCCACCAATTCAACTTATTAAATAAATTTATATTTCATATTTTAGCACATATCTATACCCTTCTACCGTTACCTTTAACAAAAATTAACACCAATTAATATTGGAATGATTATCATAAAATCATTTTAAACAGCTATCTTTTTATAACAGCTTTTTGATTCACCTCAAACTCTTGGTAAAATAGAAAAAAAATATTTTTAGCTAAACCATTTTTTTTTAAAATGATTTTTACAATTTTATTGTTTCAGTAACAATTTTTAGAGTATCAAGACTTTTATTTGATAAAATTCTGCCAAGAACAGAATGTTGTGACGAATACACTTTTTAAATTACATCCAAGAAAGCTTGATACATGGAAAGCACCCGGTGATACCCCAGGGAAAATCATAAGAAACCAAACTTATTTTATCAACATAAACAAAAGGTTTAGAAATTCTATCACCTCAACAAAAACATATTCAGGCGCAGATGTCTTCTCAGATCAGTCTATTGGTTGCAAATATCAACATATGACTCAAAATAATTCATAAGAAAATGAGGCCCAAGATAGATATAAGACTACTAAATGAAAATGACATCCAGAAAAAAGTAATTACTATTTAAATGGGAATAAGCCACAATTAAAGGTTACAGTCAGTTTATTTAAAAAAAACTTACTTTAACCTTTAATTGTGGCTTATTCCCATTTAAATAGTAATTACTTTAAAATGCCATAAGAATATAGCTTCAGAACAATATTCAGAAAAAAGTAAAAACAGGGATTAATAAGAATTTTGCGAAAATAGTTGAAGACGCTACTAGAGGCATACAAGAACAGTGGAAAGAAATGAAGACATATATTACCACAATTTCGCATGAATATCTAAAATCAAAAAGAGAAAAGAAGCAAGAATGGATGACAGATAAAACACTGCAGATGATGGAAGAGCGAAGAAAATTAAAAGGTAGAAATGACAACGAATACAAAAAGTTGCATAATACTATACTAAAGGAGATAAAAGGAGCAAAAGAAAGCTGATGGAGAAATGTACAGAAATTGATACACTACAACGCAAACATGACGATTTCCATATGCACAAAAAATTAAAGAGGTAAAGAACACCAGAAAACAACGCAATACAGGCAAAGTTGTAGACACTCAAGGCCAGATTTTAACTGCCTTTGAAGATAATTTACGAAGATGGAAAGAATATATGCAAGAATTATTCGAAGATGCAGCATGAAGTCCGACTAAAATAAACAACCTCTACGGTCCAGAACTATCAAAAGAAGAAGTAACTATGACCATTAAGCGGATTAAAGATAGGAAATCACCATGACCTGACGAGGTGCATGGTAAAATTTTAAAGCTATTAGAGGCACACCAATCACAGCACGAAGGTATTCAACAACATCTACGAGACTGGTTACTTACCAAAAGACTGGCTATTATCAATATTCATTCCACTTCCTAAAAAGCCAACGCTAGAAAATGTAAAGGACATAGATTAATTAGTTTGATGAGCCATGTACTTATAAGTACTTCTTACTTTCATTCACTCGCGCATATTCACCAAATTAGAAGAACATCTGAATGAAGTTCAATTTGGATTCAGAGCAGGATTCACAACGAGGGAAGCTGCTGGAAGATCCTGCGCATTATCTACTGGCAGATAATGCGCAGGGGCTCCAAAAGATGATGGATAACGTTGTAGAAACATGTAACAAATACGGCCTGAAACTAAATTGCAAGAAGACAAAAATAATGAACATTAGTAATAACACCAAGATAAACGACCAAATTACAACAGACGATAATAGCGTCGTTAGAAAGAGTGGAAAAAATATGATATTTTTGCTCCAATATTAAAGATACGTGGGATCATAGCTACGAAATAAAAACTCGTATTGAAAAAGCTAGAAGCTCCTTCAACAACCTTATGAAGATTCTCTACAACTCTTTAAGTATCAATATATGCATAAGAATTCTTAGATATTACGTCTTTAGTGTCCTCTATGCAATAGAAAGCTGTATCCTTACAGAAGATGCCATAAAACGATTAGAGGCATTTGAAATGTGGTGCTACCGACGTATGTTAGAGAATTACCAAGAAATACAAATGTATGACAACATCTAAATACTTACTACGACGTAAAATCGAAATTGATGAAAAAATAATAAAGCAGGAAGCAAAGTTTAGATATCTGGGAATAAATATAACTAGTTACGGAGATGTTGAAGAAGAAGTACGACAACAAAGCTTAAAAGCAAGTAAAGCGGTGGGATCTCTAAATAACACAACAATCTGGAAGAACAAACACCTAAGACAAGACACAAAAACAAGTATCTATAAAGCAGCAATTAGACCTATAGTAACATACACGGCGGAGACAAGACCTGACACATCTAAAACGAGACGACTACTAGAAACAACAGAGATGAAAATACTCCGACGAATATCAGGGAAACGTCTGTTATAGAGAAAGAAGCGAAAACGTAAGAAGAGCATGCAATATAGAAGACATAAATGGATGGGTAACAAAACGGAAACAGGAGTGGAACAAACACATCAGTAGAATGGCAGAGAATAGGATAGTATGAATAGCACGAGATAAGTCACCAAATGGACGAAGAAGTATTGGCAGACCAAAAAAAGGTTAATACGATAATTTAAACAATTTAGGAGGCTAATATTGAAGAAACAGGCTTTAAAGTCTACATACAAAAAGGAAGAACAAGAAGTATTCAGAGTTCGCTTCTTTCAATATGGTGATAACCATACTCTTCCTGAAACACTTTTCTACGAACATCTTCGTGTATCAACGTTTTATCTTTCCTACCACCGTAAAATAATTCGATGATGTATGTACCAAAAATTGTAATTCGTCTGTCAATGTAGCCCTAGCTTTGGAACGAACTCGTCAAACTCCACTTCTATCTATAACTCGGATCAGTAATGAGACCAATGTCTTGAAAAGCTGCAGAAATGATTGTAGCTCCAGGACGACCTAAAACTCCATAACGATCTAAAGTTTTTGCAACAACCGGAAATGTGACATCAATCATTATGAGTGAAGAAGTGGAAATAATCGATTACGAATGGAAGACCTCAATTTCAGTATTTTTCTTTAATATATCTGTCTGTTGAATCTTCGATTGTATCTTTAAAGCTGTATGTGATTTAGAAGTAATAGAAATGGATTCCACCTGTATTTGCAAGGCTCTTTGTTCTTCACGATGGTTTTGTTGGTGTAATCTATGTAAATTCTTCTCAATTTTTTTGGTCGCTGCACGATCTAAACTACCAATCATGATTTTACGATCAGTCCTTTGGTCAATTTAGAAATTTCATTCTGGTATTGGTATTTTTCGGTTTCTAGGACAGTTGCAATTTCTGGATTTTAAACATTTACAAGTAGCAATATCAACAATTTCTTACTATCCTCACCAAACTTGATCATCTCTTGTAACTGTCTTCGTCTTTCCTGCCTTTATAAGGTATCAATAATGTTCGATACTTATCGTGGTAAGCTATAATTCTAGCTAATATTGTTTTGTGTTTTACGATTGATATTGAAGCTCTGCACCATATCTCTACTCTTTCAGTCACAATTTTACTAGTTTTGTTTATACTGAACAAAGTTATTTCAATGCATTGTCAAGTTATATAATGCAAATTATCTGCAATGTCAAGTCGTTCAGTGAATTTTCACTTGTTTCGTATTACTTTTTGCAAAAGAAAAAGAATTGTCTTTTCATATAACTTTTTTAATACAAATGGACCATTTAATAAATAAATGCATCTGTCCCAAAAGTATCGGAAGTTCGTTTATAACTTCACGCCGTTTAAGCGCCCTCTGTGGAGTGCAAATGAGCACCGCAGATAAAATCATGGTTGAATTGGTTGAAAAATAGCCACACGTCTGTTGACAGTGACCCACGTTCTATCGGTCCGGTCGATCTTCCAGAACAACACTAGAAAATATCAACTTGGAATGGTCATCAATGATAAAATGTGCATTAGCAATGACAATCGTGGTGAATATGGTCTAAAAGATCAAAAAATCAAGAAAAATATGTTTAAGTTCTAAAAAGATTGCGTGATACAGTGAGAAGAAACCGGTAACATTTTTGAAAGAACGACTGGTTTCTTTATCACCTTAATGCACTAGCTGTCATAGAATGTTGACCATGAAATAAAGGCAATTCAAACAAATACAATGGCATTGGAAATCATTACAAAATCTGAATTTCAGAAGATGTCTCTTACTTAAAGCACCAATGACAGGCATGTAGTTAAGTTGAATAGGAATAACTTTATAGAATACCATGAGCTGAATGACGAAGCATAAAGCATTGCAAAGTTATGAACGAAGGTCGGAAACTTTTGAGACAAGCCTTGAATGTTTTCATAGCTGAATTAGAAGCAATAAGTAAATGATATATGTCGTGTTTTAACTATTAAGCACAAGTAAAATTGTATCCCAAAATGTGATTTATTTTGGATCATTTTAAAAACTATATCCATTTGGCACATCTTTATGGACATTCGCATACATAATTATAATGAAATCAATTGTATGTGCCAATTATACTAAAATTCATTTAAAAAGATACTCACCATGCTGACTACCAGAATTTGTCAAAGACATATCCAAAGAAGCGACTGCAGGACTGGAACTCGTACTATTTGCGGTGTTTGTGCTTTCGTCTGACGTACGCTTAAAGAAATTGTGCTGCAAAGCATAATATGGGGTAATTCTTGTTTTAGGGTCATATTCCAACATACGGAGAATTAGGTCTTTGAATTTCAAGTAATCAGACATCGTATGACCGACTTCGTTTGCCCGTCTTCCTCCCGGGCCGCCTGTTTCTACACCTAAGATATCATGAAGTCTTCTGGTACCTGGTATTTTATATTTTTTACCATCTTTAGTCTTTTTCAGTATGTACCTACAACAATATGACGCTGATATAGGTAAATATATATACACTAATAATTATTAAGTCTAGGATAAAGTCTTATACCCTGTCAACACATTTATTTTAAAGATAAAACAAAATCACTTTTTAAATTTGTTCTAATACCTACATCACAGTACCAAAATTGTAGAAAGTGATTAATATTTTCCATGTAGACCTTTGAGGGATTGAGCGGAAAGGAAATCGACGAGTCAAAGGTCTACAATCGAAAAATTCTCTTACATAGATCAGAAATGCTTTGTGGATTTGTCTGGTGTACCTTGAACTGTAGGACCCCACAAGGAAAAATCTAATGGAGTAAGATCTGCTGATCTCGGTGGCCACTCTATGGGTGCAAGTCATTGAATACAAGGTCCGGGAAAAATCTTGTTTAAATTATTGCAGCTATTATTTCATTCTCCAACATAATGAAGTATTTTTTGCCATTTAAATTTTTAATGAATATTAGGCCCAATATACCTGCCCATATATTCTTTTCCGGAAACTGTGTCAAAGCATAGGTTCTATTTTTGTTAATGTTTGTTTGTGGTAATGTATTTTTAGACATATTTGGAAAAATGAAATCTAATAGCACCATCATCGTCATTCAGAACTTACTGAACAACCTATACTGATTCCCACATAAAGTACAATGTGGAATAAAGAATTACCTAACATTTTTACTGGGTAAATTACCTTTAATTTTATAATTTCATTAACATCTTTAACACATAGGTACTTAAATATTCATAAGTTACTAAACTTACCTTCTCTCTCCTGGTAATTTTTCAAAAAATTTTCTCGTTTTATTAGCTTGATCTAGAAGATGCTTGGGTGGCATACCCAGAACTTCGACGATTTTATTCATCTGATCAATTTCATTGGCACCACTAAATAAAGGTTCTCCTGTATGCATCTCCACCAATATGCATCCCAAAGACCACATATCTATAGCTAAATCATATGGAATTCCTAAAAGTACTTCAGGCGATCTATAAAACCTTGACTGAATGTATTGATATATCTAAAAGAAATTATAAAATACAGGAATTAGAAAATATTAGCTTTTAGTGTTAATTAGAAATGATGGCTTATATATCCTTTTATTTATATTAATGTTACATCCCAGAGAACAATAAGTAACTCCTCTTGTCCTAATTTAAGAATCACAATACTCTTAGTTGTCTTGTATATAACTCAACATTTTTTAACATTATTCTGTTATACATTATATTCAGCTCTTATAGACTGTCGTCTGGAATTGTTTCTTTCTTTGCAGCTAGGGTATACATTATCAAAAGCAATTTGGGAGCATAGGTAAACATCAAATCCTGCCGATGCTCCGGTTGATCGAGACAAATCCATATGTCTGAATTGTCATTAGCTGGAAATGATTTTGCATTCCATCAATTTTTTGTTATCTTCTTACAGTCTTCTCCATACTATCTAATTTTTCATGTTCTTTTTTATCATTTCTTTCATCTTTACTCAGCAATAGAAACTGACCTCCAGTCAGTGTCAAAAGACTTATTTCTATTTAATATAACTTTATTTTCAATTTTAGGCTACTTTTATTGTTCCTTATCTGTCAATTGTCAAGTTGAAATGTTTTTTTACTTAGTTTTTACTGTTGTTTACACTATTCATGTATGTTGGCTTATAGTTTTTGGGTTTTGTCCAAGCTTTTTTGTTCACTGCACTTTTTCTGTCTTGATGCAGCTTGCTGTGTATACCTTTTCTGATTATTACTAACTATTATTCGACATTTTGTTTGAGCAAAATAATTTTCACATGTTATTAGCTACACACACCGTTGCCAAGTGCTATATGATGATGATGAAGATATTCTTCTAGTTTTCATACATGACCTATTGTAATAACCACGACGATATATGGAGTTTACTAATGTAAATGCCCACTATTACTAATAATATTATATTCCACTAAAAAATAAAATATAAACTTACCCTTTGACCAAGTTGGCAAGAACTTCCAAAATCAACTATTTTAATAGCTGACCTTTTTGGGTTGCATAGTAGAATATTTTCCGGTTTCAGATCGCAATGTATGATATTCAGTTCAGGAGTAGAAAGAAAGAGTAAGGCTGTACAGAGCTGCTGCGCGAATTTTCTTGTGAGATTCAATGATACACCACGGAAATTGGTGTTTCGAAGTAAATCATATAAATTATAAGATAATAGTTCGAACACGAGACATAAGTGATTTCTCCACATGAAATGTCTTTTTAATTTAACTGAAACAAGAAATTATTATTAGTTTTTATTATTAAACATACTATTGTTTCAATAAATACCAACCTATATAATATTTATTCTCAACGTCGGCCCTATTCATCATTTCTAATAACTTAACTTCAATTTGAGCCTGGTTAAGAAAAGGTTTCTTATTTTTAATAATCTTTATAGCCACCTGGCATTGTTCAACATGATCAAATGCCTTTACGACTTGACCAAAAGAACCTTTGCCAATAAGAGAATCAATTTCGTATCTCTCCAGGAACTTTTCACCATTTTTCACTATGTAATCATGGTTGTCATCATCATAACCATCATTGTATATCTTCCTCTCTTTCTTATGAGAAGAATCTTCTCCTTGAATTTGGGCTGCCCTTCGTTTTTTCTTAGCGTAATACACCTATAAAAAACAAAATGCATTAGGAATCATTGTTGAAGAGGAATAATATAACCAGGTTTTCTTTGCCCAAATTATATTGACTATCTATTTATTATGAGGATAGTTAAGATTTAATATATCAAGTATCTAACCTTAATTCTGTGAGTCACGAACTTAGTAAGCTGAACAAGTTAATCAGGAAAGAAGGGAGGAAAACTAACGTGCTTGAAAAAAAGCAATAAATAATATATAGTTGATACTTACTTCATTTATATGTTTATAAGTCTTGATTAAATCAACACTAAGTTTTCTAAGGGGTGCTGAGGATGAGTCCCTAAAGGTAGGAGGTATTCTTGCTTGCATTGCTTGAATATCAGTGGATGAGGAATTTGTCATCGGTGGGATCCCCAAAGTGTCTTCAGCTACTAAGCGGCCATAGAGAGGAACATGCCGCCTTTGGCTAAGAGACATGTCTCCTCCGCCACCAGGTGCTACTGGCACTAAAAGGTAAATATTTAATAATTCTTATTGCCTACAAATTTGATGTAAATAAAGAGTAATAAAACCAAAAATAAGAAGGTTTACAATTGTTTCATTGGTATAAAAACTCTGTCTTATTTATAAGTTTAAATAATTACTGACAGTTACTACCTATCGTCTCTTCAAACCTTCTATTACTGATTTTATTTCAATTTTGTTATATATATCTTAAATTGTGGTGTGACAAAACTTATTTACTTTTGTTTTTAGCTTCAGAAACTTTTTAATCACATTATGTCTCCTATTATTTGTACATTATAAGTACATCTTACCATTGATTGTAAAAGTTACTAATAAGTTAGTTCTTGCAGATTCTACAGTAAGTATTTGTTATTTAAATATATTCATATGTACATGTGTACATATATTCATGGATACGTCCTTTTGCTTACAAAATTGAAGTGGAAAAATACTTTAAGATTTATTTAATTGAATCATAATGGTTAAAAAAAGAAAATAATTGTTAAATATTGTTTAAAAAAAGAATTCTTAGGTTAAATATATAATGTTTAATAATAGTGTTGTTCAGGATATCAAGTTTAGGATATCACCATATCAAGTGACTTTCATAAAATGGTGCAGAATTGTAATGAAAATTATGAAATTTTTGACATTTGAGATATTTGCACAACTTATCATTCAATTGGACTATTGTTTATGAAAACTTAAGCACAATACAAAAAGCATTAGAGCATTAAAGCATGTACACAATTTTTTCTAGAAACTTTACAATCTGTTCATCTCCATCCAAAATTCTTCTAACTTGAGCATGGTCAACCAAAACATAAGAGTAATATCCCCTTCAAATTACTGCAACTTCTTGGTTGTACACTGGATTCTGGTTTGTATACTTTTAAGTGGGCACTTCATAGCATTAATTATATTAACTACTAGGAATAAATATATTATAGTTCCCTTATCTTTCCTTTGTTGAGATTTAAAACAGTATATTTTCTTCTGTTAATAAGGATGTAGAAATTTTTGTAATATTTATTTATAAAACTATTGAATACCTAGACACAATAATTCTAAAGAATTTATGTATAGGACATTTTTAAGTTTGAATATGAATTGGTTGGTTTTAATAGTAAATCAATAGTTAGTTACATTACTTTAGAGTCATACAATTTCCATTTCAATTAGGAATGTCCAGGATTCTCTTGTGAATCATCTAAAATGTAAAAGTAACTAATCAATATTTTAAAATAGTAGGTATAAAAAATGCCAACATCAACAACTAATATACTATTCTCTCTAGTACAATCATATAATTATTGATTTTAATTATTATTATTTCAACTGAAAAAATTTAGGTACCTATATTATTATCCTGCCTAGAAAATTATATAATTTTCTGATATAGCTCAAATTATAAAAATAATTTAGGTACACTCTGAATCACTTCAGGATGTACCTTGTATCAATTATCATGATATACGCCAGTCGCAAACATTGTGCTTAATTATTTATTTCATTTAATTTTCGCCTATAACTTGAGAGAGCACTTTTTGCTTCTACAAAAAAAAATTATAAAAGGTAAAAGTTTCGTTTTTTAAATTTTAAATAATATTTGACTAGCTAAAAATTGAAAATTTAATGTTTATTGTTTAAAAAATAACAATAATTGGAAAAAAAGTGCAAAAAATGGAGTTATTACTTTAAATCTTTTCAACACTAACATAACTAACAGCCTTCATATTCTGCCTACAAAAATTTTATAATATTACTAACATGTGCTGAATTTTGTATTAGGATTAATTTAGGATTAATATATCTTAATATATTAATATTAAGTAAATATGCAAATTTACATAATAAAAAAATTGTTTTTGTGTAACATGTGCCCTTTTCCAAACTTACTTAAAAAACATGACATATATGACATTTATTTTATTGAAAAAAAGAAAAATGCTTACACAAAACTACTTAAGGTAACAAAAAATGTCATGTAATCAATGTAAAAGGTGACCAAACTTAAAAATCCTCTTCTGATGCGGTAGTTAACCACTGGAATATGATTGTATAGGAAAGCTTTTTTTTCTGGGATATACTGAATAAGCAATTTTAGGTTATCCATATTTTTTGCATTTATGGGTATTTTTGAAGTATAGGCTTTATAATTTTCTATAGATGGTAGTTCCTGTATAGATACAGCTGGCTTCATCCTTAAAAAAGAATGTGTAACCAAACTATCTATATATTCTGAAATGTGCAATACTCCTGGATTGTCAGAAGTATAGGTGAACTGATTATACTGATTATAGTAGGATATCTGGAACAAAACTTTCTGATCTTTAGGCAACTTCCTTTTTTGTGTTTTTATTGACTGAACAGTTTTCTTATACAAAAATGGTCACCATTACATACTAATATTCTTAACTGTCTACTTTCCTTTGCTTGAAAAACTTCTAATCAGATCTTTGTAATCTTTAGGAATATAGATCATATCAACTTTCCTAATTTTTGTTTTGACACATCAAAAATCCCTATCACAGTCATTAAATGAATGGAATCAGTGGAAAATAGTGAACTATTTTCTTAAACCTGTTATTTGCTGCTAGACTTGAAAAAAATCGTACCACTGTAGGGTTTCTGTTTTGGCCTGAGCATCCATCTGAAAAAACATGTAATTCATCTACTTCATTAGGTATGAATTCATTTATGTAGTTATTCAAAAAGCTGCATTTGTTGAGCCCTTTGAGAGCTTGACATTCATGATATGAGTAAAATGTGGTGTTTGAAGTTTTTAAGTTATGGACACAAAACTCATACACCCAGCTGTCTCCAACAGAAAACCTCTTAGGCAGGAATATTTGACAATGGAAGATTTTGCATAAAATGATGATTTTGACTATGTTCTTTGCAGTAAGAACTAAGTCCCTACATTTATCATTTGTTTAGAAAAGGTCACATCTATGACAGATGTACTGTTTTTGAACCAAATGGTGTAAATTGCCTAGCTACAAAACATTATAAGTATAAAATTTGGTGACCTTTTCATATGAAACTGGGTGTTACTTTATACAGTACATATCTACCATAAATGTAATTTTGTCAAAATTGCCACTTGTGCCTCTTTCTAAAGAACTGATTCAATTATAATTGATCTTAAGTTATTTGATATATTTGTGAGAAGAACAAAAATGAAGAATTTAATAGCAGGTGTTTAAGGTGAGTTGGACTAAAATGAGTTGTTTTATCTATTTCAAGAAACATCAATTTTATCCTTTTATCAGAATGCTTGTTTGATGTATAAGCTTAGTAGTCAAATACCCACTTCAGGTACATTATAATATATTATAATGACAGTTAAAAAAAACCATAAATTTTGTTTTTTTTTTTATGAGTTGCTACTTTATTCTATATATTTACATCCTTAGTTTAATATCATCACAGATGTGATTGCTATTTCATCTTACTAATGTTTAATGCCACTGAATTAATTTGACCAAATTGCAAGATAAATAATTGTAGTAAATATATTGGCAAAATCAACTTGTTTGGTTGAAATACATATATATGTTCTACATACTAAGTATATGTATGTATATTAAAATTGATTAGTTAAGTAGATCACTGTTTTTCTTGACAGTATGGCAACCATGTAATTTAGATTAAGGTATCAAGTAACCTACATAGTATGTCAAGCAGTATTTTGCTTAGAGCCAAGTATTTTATTAACACATTTTTTTGTAGGTCACAAAATGTCATAAGCTATTTAGAAAGTTTCCTTTATATTATAATAGCATACTTAATTTCAAAGAAACAAGTAAACAATATACATACATCACTGAAATTTTGTTAATAACAAATAATATGTCCTTTTTGTATAAATAAAAAATTAGTTTGAATTAATAAAAATAATGTTTCTATTTTTTATAGTACATATTACATAACAATAATGAGGTATTTATAAGTTTGTATTTATTAGTAGACAGCATCTAAACCAGTTGGAGTATTCATTTAACCATATCTATAAGTGTATAAAAATAAATTCAGAAGTTACAACAATATATTTTTAAATATTCTGAATCCAAGTAATGACAGATAAAAGTTATAGGTACCTAACCTATGTTGGCATTTATTTTGTATAAAAATACTGTGCCAAAAATGCACTGCATTCTTTGTGATCTATCTCTGACTAACAAATTGAACATAGAGATGGGAAATATTTCATGATCAGTGACTTATTGAGAAGTGATATTCTCAAAAATGACTTTTCTTTTGATTTCACATTATATTTTATCATAGAGGGAACGTAAAAAATAAATGGTATTGGGATAAAAATTGAAAGCAAAATATTCAAATGGGAACTTCAGAACTTTGACAGTTGGTAGCTGCCATATTGCTGAAGGTACATTTGTCATTGGCTGTCATTTGGTCAGTCTGTTTTGCTTAATAATCATGGACAGACATAGGATACAAAAAAACATGCAAATGATAACATTGCTGTATCAAAATGGGTGTTCTGTTCACATTTTGCTCACTTTGCCCTCTTTATCATCATCATAATTGTCTTTGATATAAGGACATAAGAGGGATAATCATAGTGTGGTATCTGTGAGTCCATGGGAATAACTGTGAGTCCAGTGGTTCAGTAAACAATCAACCAACACATGTAAGTTAATGAAACACAATATCTGGCAAAAATATCTCCTCTATCTGTAAGAATGTGTAGAAGAATTCAAGGCAGTATACTTCACTTTGCTCACAAGAACACAGTCATTTACAGACCACAACTAGTGAATTTTGCATTATGACTTGGGCATGCAATGGTAGTATGTTGGCAAAACATCACCAAATGCCAGGTAAATGTTTTCAAGTCATAATATTGAAGGGACCTTTAATACCAAAAAAAAGATGATATTTCCTGTGGCAAAATATTGCTGAAGCTAAAACACCCTCTCATATTTCCAGGTTAACAGTTTCTCAAGGGATAAGATTCTAACAAATAACGGTTGGTGAATGTATTTTTAATGAAGATGCAAGAAGTAGAAAAAGAATGAAGAGCAAAAGAACTAGGTGAGATATGAAAAATGGTATGTAAGGAAAAACAATACCAGAAATGAAGTTGATATAGTTGCTGATAGAGAAATGAAAGATAAAGGTGTAAATAATGTTGTAACAAGTAATAGGATATCAGTGGAATATGTAGAAAAGTGCAGACTCAAACCAGAACCATTACAATTAAAAAAAAAGGCTTTCTATACACAACAAACTAGTTGTTGGACCAGAAGGAACACTACATTTAGTGATTGCTACTATATGGCTACAACTTAGTTTAGATAGAAGCAAATTTCTACATTATTTACATAGCTACAATTACTAGCTATTAAAGTACTTGAAACAATCTTAGGAAACAAATTATGAGAAAAAGGAAACCTCTTGGCAGTCAAACAAAAGTTAAAAAAAAATTACACAGAAGAGAAAACTATTATGAAGAACAAGAAAACTAGATCCTAGCAAAAGCTGGATAAAAAACTATAATATAAACTTGACATTGAGTAGGATAAAATGAATATAAAATAACAAAACTTGTAACAATAAATAAGACTCCAAAACAATTTAGCAGATTAGATGTTTAAAACAAAAAAAAAACATGGAAATGAATGGCTTTATCATATCAAACTTTGCAACATATCATTTTTTTACATACTATAGTTGTTTTCATAATACAAGGGCATTTTGATTATTTTTCAACATTGTTATTAAATATGTTATATTATTATTACTAATATATTTTTTAAACTATTAATCAATGTTGAATTTTTCAGTTTGTTGTGGAGCTGAAATATATCTATGCTGTTTTTACTGTATACTTTATTTTATATAATAATAGAAACGCAAATATCTGTACTATTAAATGATTATGAAGGTAAATAGCTTTTTAAAATCAGTGGTCTTGAAAAGTACAGGAAGTAATATTACTGATTTAAAAAAGTACTGGGTAAGCTCATCTCTATTAGTCCTGAGATCAAGGAAGTTTTTTGCACCACAATTTTCTAAAAATATATGACAAAATCAAGAGTGTTAACTGAATGTGTGGAGAGACAATTTTAAGAGAAAGAAGATACCTACTTTTTGGTTTATTTTTATCCATGAGCATTACGTGTTCGTGCTTGTGCCACGCCATGGACTACACAAAATGAATAAGGGTATCTGCTTTTTGTTGTTGTTCTGAATCTCAACCCACGGCTGATTGTATGGTCCAGCCGGGGTTAACATAAGATGATCCACGTTAATGGCAACCAACTTCCATGCTGTCACTGGGTAAACAATCCCGCGTGCTTAAGGCCACTAACCTCCCGCTTTCCAAGGCCAGCCGATATTATGCTTTCACAGACACAGCCACTTCCGTTTCGAGAGAGACGAAGACAGAAAAACAACAACCAGTCAATCTGAGGAACACAACATACTTCGATTATAGGATTCTCTCTGGTACTTAAGAAATATTGCGGCACAATTGGGGTATATTGCTTAGGCCGCATGGTATACACATATTTAATTTTATATGAATTGAAAACCAACTCACTAAACCTGATTGAATGTATCAAAGTTCACTCCCCTTGTCGCAAGGAATGGACTGATCGTTCTCGATTGACGACAAGACAGTCACAGCACTTCACTGTACACAAGAAAAAACTCGGAAGCACTACTGAGCAAAACAATAACAAATGTGCACGCATAGCACATTGATAAATTAAACCAAATCTAGGTTAAAATAATAACTAACAATAAATCACTCATAGTTATTAACACGCAGAACTACTGTTTTCAGGCCCACATGTAGGTATTTGGATCATTCACCTTTATTACTGTTTTCCACTCCACGTGTGTTAAATTCTCACTTTCCGAGGACTTAAAATGAATACTATTGATTCAGGATATCAACAAACTCATATAACACTCAATAATTTTCACAAATTCACGCTCATTACCCTGTAATCAATTAAATTATTTTATTTTGATGGTGTAGCACACCCCTAAAACGCAACAACATGGCAACTCTCAACTAAGTAGAACCAGTGTTGCCAGGTTCATCCAGCGTCTTCTTGACTTAAAAATCTATATCATATAATTCTTCGCAGTAAATCATTTTCTTTTTAAAGAATAATTTATTATAAAGTGCTTTTTAAATATTTTCGATAATAAAATTTGTTCAATTAAAAGAAATCTGAACCAACGTTCTAAAATTCTTATAAATATGGCAGCGTAAAATCGCCTCAACTGTCATCTACTTATGACATAATCTATGACTTTGACAAAGGAAATCTACCATTGGTAAAGGCTTCAATTAGCGACTATAGAAGCGATCTGTAATGGTATCATTTTCACTTTTGCTTTTATAGGGAAAAATTCGCCATCATAATTATAAACGTTATTATAAATGGTTTTAATTTTAGTTTGTTTTTTGCAAAGATCATAGCTGTTGTCGAACAAACATTTTACATTTGTTTTGACGTTTCGATTTCCAAAATAATGGTAATATTTAGTTCTAATATTTAGTACGTCTGGGAGATGACGCTACTAGTCGGCTACATAAATGTCTGTTCCGAGAAATATTATAATTTCGTTCACGTAATCAATTAAATAAATTTATATGTAGACAATATTAAATTTTGTTTTTGAAGAACCGTTATACATTTACCTTGCACAAATTAATTTTAGATCTTCATGGAACAAGGATATACTTGACGTAACCTAAGACTATTGCCATCTCTCGGAAAATTGGATAACCTAGCAGTCAGAGCGCTGTTGTTCCTTTATTGAAAAAACATTCAGTTCAGGGAAATAAAGAGACTGTTTGGATTTGGAACTGAATAATCCAGGTATTTAGCATAAATAACTTTTTTGGTTAATATATGCCAATAAAAAGAAAACCTACATGTGTCATGCAGGAAATTCACTGTTTTAGTTCATAAAATATGTTTTGTTATCCTTAAAAGATTCCCAAATATATTAAAATAAAGGAATAAGGCAAAAGGAGGAAAGTCCTCACAGACACTTCGTCTAAGAGCTAGCAACCCCAGTGGAGATGTGATAAATTTCTTTTGTAACTTAAACATCATAGTTTTTAATTATCAATGGAAGAAGAGACTGTCATGCACATTCCATATCTTTGCAAAGTGCTAAGTAACATAAGGAAGGCAGGAATTCATTGGTCACCTAAGGCTTGAACCAGAAGAGATGTTCAAACGATATATTTGAGATTATAAGATAAGAACACAGCCCAATTGCTGATTTTAGGTCATTTTAAGCCCAGGCCTCACATCTGTACACCAAGATTGACAAAACATAACATTTAAGAGTTCTTTTGCAATGTTGTATAGAGAAACTTCTGTTAATTGTTAATATACCTACTAAATTGTAATAAAAGACGTAAAACGTTGCGAGATTACTGATCAAACAAGCTGAAAACACTTTTTCGCTTATCAACTAATTTTGAAAATTGTTATAACAATTATGCAACAGAAGAGAGAGGGAGAGAATACCTACTGTCGAATAAAGGACATCGACACTTTTCTTATGTAAAAGTTAAATTGGCTAAAACTTTGCAGAGATAAAACTTTGGTCAGGCTGGCCACAAGTTATCATTTTAATTGTTATTTTTTTGGCTTTTTGTAATCTTGTCCATAAGATTGTAAAATTTTTAGTGACAATAAAGCATATTTCTAACTGGCCTCTTTCCGAGCGTTATATCTAAAATACATACGATGACTTCTTTCGAGAACACCATGTCACTTTCAATCTAGCGAAGGGTTAAGAGAATGTCGAATTTTTTCACCGGATGGCGTAAAATTATAACCTAGAGCCGTTTAAATCATTCTAATAACTATAGAATGGTGTGAATGGACCTTATAATTATTAAGTCATCCGAAAATATATACACTAAAAAGTACGTAATTATTTTATCATATAAACGTAATTTTTTTCGTAAGCGTGTCTTAGAAAGTATATCTCTTCAAACGCAAATAAACACGTAAACGAAAAAGCATTATGATAGATTAGGATACGCTTGTCTTTGTATTAAAAACTAGAGTAGACTGACTATCTATTTCGTTCTTTTTCAAATACATAGTTAATACAATAGCTCCGGTTGACAGGTACTGCCAGTAGTCATATGCTTGTCTCAAAGATTCAGCCATGTATGTTTCAGTACGAACCAAATTAAGGGAGAAACCATGAAAGGCTCAATACAAAGTAGAACATTATACTAAAGAAAATTTATTATATCAATTAAAATTAAAATGTAAAGTCTCCATAAATGTTATCTAATAAATTATAATTTTTCTTCGACATTAGTCATTTCAGTATTGGATGGTGAGTTGTCTGAGTTAGATTCGTATGTACTTTTGTTCTTCATCAAAAAAGAAGCTAAGGCAGCAATTGGATCATCAGGTCTTTCTTTGGCTAGGTATGAAAGTGCGTTCATCAATATAGGCACTACAGTTTGATCTAAATACTGTCTTGTTGGTAGTGACGATAAATCTACACGGGCCTTTTTTATAACTTCCGAATTATCCATGATTACTAACTAAAACAAAACAAATATAAAACTAACAAGGTTGTATCCTGTGGACATATTCAACATGGAATATACAGAATAGGATGGCCCTCTTAATCAATCTATCAATACTGCCTTTTTATTTCTCATATGTATCTCATTTATCTATATCTAAACAAATTATTAATGCTAATTTTAATATTTTCATCATATTCAAGTAACACCATGCTAATAGATTTAGTAATTAAATAGGCTCACTAACTGATACCTACAATAACCTGCTAACTCAGCCCACCCCTGTCTCATCATAGTAACTACTTCCACTCTACTAAGTTCATTTCTACCCAACCACTTTAACCTAATCTATCTCACCAAATATTTTCCCAAAAAATGTTTCCTTTCCTTCGTGTTACACATTGAGCAAAACCTTTCATCATTTCTGCCAGGTTGATCATTAAAATATAGAACTCCACATGTTAATTTGAACAACCATCGAATTATCCCAAAATTTTCCATTTCCATAGATAATGCATGTTTACTTCTTCTTTCCGCAGTTCTTTGTAGTGTCCACAAAAATTTGATTCAAATGCCATATTCTCGGCCTGACGCTGTATCTCCTTTTTTTCCATCATACTCTCAATCATACTAGGCCAACTATCTCTCCATTCCCATTCACACCTTACCTCAATACCCAATTTTTCTCCCACACTCATCCAATCTTTCTACCAGGCCATACCTTGCTTTTATTATTTCTTTCAAAAGAAATTTTGGCAACTTCTCATTCAAATATCCTTGTATTATTTAACATATTTATTATGTAAATTCATCATATATAGGCTGACTCCAGCAATACCTGTCTCCAAATCTAACATAAAGTTAGGACAATAACTTCCACCAGAAAACATTTTTTCTTATATAAAATCTGATTATTTCTACCCCATCATACTCAAAAAGACCCCATTTACATCAATTAAGTCATTACACTAAACGAGGTGGCAATCTATTAATATAAGTACAATCAAAAGAGCGTATATTAACAGATGTCGCCCTTGAAAAAAAATCAATGGTGATTTTCCAGTGGAAAACTTCTTTCATTGAAGATATTCGAGTAGATTATTTTAATTGGATCTTCCTGTATAGCAATGTAAAGAGTAATTTGTAGTATTGCAACTTTCTTATCTTAATTGTATTCATTTGTTATTCTGTCTACCCAACTTATTTTTAATATTTTTCGGTAGGTCCACATCTCGAATGCTTCAAGTCGATCGCTCACCTCTTTCTTTAAGGTCCAGGCTTCCACCCCATACAGCAGCACTGAAAACACATATGAACGTAATATTCTTATTTTGAGTTGCAAACTAAATTCTCTACTGCATAATACTTTTCTCATCTTATTAAATGTTGCTCTAGCTTGGCCAATTCTCATTTTTTATTTCTTCTGTATAATTGTTATTTTCATTAATAATTATACCAAGATATCTGTATTTTTTTACTTTTTCTATTGGAACTCCTCTTATGTTTAAAATGCCTCACTAGCATTTACTACATTATCTAAAAGTGTCTGTAGATCTTGTATATTCTCTACAATTAGTATAGTATCATCGGCATATCTGATATTGTTGATGGGTCTGCCATTGACTTTTATTACAATTGTTACATTTTTGAGTGATTTTTTAATTATTTCTTCCGAATATAGATTGAACAATAAGGGGGAGAGTATGCAACCTTGCCTTACGCCTCTTTTTATTTCTACTTCCTCCGAAAGTTCTTTGCCTACTCTGACTTTTGCTGTTTGGTTAAAGTAGAAATGAGTTATTATTCTTGTCTCTTTTGTCAATGTGTTTGTCTTTAAGTAACTGTATAAAATGGTTGTGTTAGACCTTATCGAACGCCTCATTGTAATCAATATAGTTACAATATAGTTAATAAAAAATCAATTAAAAAAAATCAAAGTTGATTTATATATGCTATATAAAATTAAAAAGGGTGTACTTTTCATATAATTTTTAATTAATTGTGTATATATAAAGATGGTGTTGATGTTGTTTATACAGATCACAAAATTGATTTTGAAAACTCCAGAAACATAGCCCCTATCCGCTTCTATAAGCCAAGAATTATCTGAAAAGCCAAATTGTTTGAATAAAAGAGATGACAGCATCCTGTTACCTTCAACATGGAGACTTCTAATAAAGAAACTATTGTGCCCATCAAAATATTGCTGTCAGACATGTTCATGGCAGCCCCCACCCAAACCACTTCACCATCGAAAGTATAAATGAACCATCAGCTGTTCCCAGTAATATACCCAGGTAAGATTTAAACGAAATTTGGTATCCATTCCCTTCTGTCATTAACGAATCTTCTCCAATTCTGAACTCCCATAATCCTTAGATCATTCTCAACACTCTCTAACCAATGCTTTCAAGAGCAGACTCATGGTCTATTGTAGACCAGCCTCCATTCAGTGACATTTTTTGCATTTCTTTCATATCTCATTTGGAGCAAGTGAGCAAGCCAATGAATTCTGTAAGATTTAATAAACTTTGCTGTATCTACCTGATTACAGGCCCAAAAATCTTCCTGGGCATTTCACTTTCAAAACTTTTCAGGGCATCTTCGCCTTTCTGCAACAGAGTCCATATTTCATAATGGATTTTATTAGTGTTTTCTACAATTGCATCTTTGAATTCTGCCTTAGTATTTCCGAAGTTAGCAGCTTTTTTTGTGTAATTTCGGTTGTGTAATTTCAGCCTATTTCTGTTGCTTATTATCTTCTTAATTTCTGCACTCACACCATTACTTTCGGTTATTAGGGATCCTAAGTAAATGAAAACGATTTAAAACAAAAACTGGAACAGTGGAAAGAAGCTCTTGAAATAAAAAAGTTTGAAACTTAGTATGCTAAAAACAGTGTACTTGGAATATTCATTTAAAGATGAAGTTACTACTAAAAAATGGGATGATTAAATTATTGTGAAAAGTAATAGTTTTAAGTATCTAAGATCGGAATTATAGAGTAATGGGAAAATAGATCAGGATGTATCAAGTAAATATAAAGCAAGATGGACTAAATGAAAGAATCCAATGAAATTGGAAGGAGAATTCTAAAAACTGGTCTAAGACCAGCTAAAATGCAGAGACTGAATGTTGGGTAGTTAAAAATTAAGAGGAATGTCTAATGCTTGTGACAGGAATGAGTATGCTTAGATGGATAAGTGGGGTGAAAAAAAGGATAACATTAAGAATGGGTATATTAGCATTGATAATTAATCCCAATGTCACAATGAAAGTGATTCTTGTGAATAAAAGATATATTTAACCTATTCAGAGGTGACAATGGTTAGGACATGACAATGTTCAATATCAAGATACTAATTTATCATCCAATATAAAGAATTGCTGAGTTGCAAGGAGTAGGAAAGGAAGACAAAAGAAGAGCTGGTAGGGTACACTTAGGGCAAGACACATCTGTGAAGGGGATTGACATTGGCATGATCCAAGATAAAAATTATAGAGATGTAATTAGAGACATGGGAAAATGAAAATAGATTTTGAAAAGACCAAAGTGAAGATGACTTTTTTATTAACAAAATTTTTGATTCTGAGCAACAATCCAACTTACATAGGATACATTCCTATGTAAGATAAAACATTTAATTATCTTTCTTAAATAAGGGCAATGTTCCCACTTTTTGTTTTTACTAACAAAATTTTTGATTCTGAGCAACAATCCAACTTACATAGGATACATTCCTATGTAAGATAAAACATTTAATTATCTTTCTTAAATAAGGGCAATGTTCCCACTTTTTGTTCAAAGGATGTAATGTTCCAGATTTCTCAGTTTTTAAATAAATTTATACAATGTCATTGAGTGTTCAATATTTATTAAAAAATCAGAAAGGATTACAACTGTCCTGCAAGCATTAAACACCAAAATGAACCTATACTAGGTTGAAAAAAATGAATATTTATTCACTTTACAGCTTATATGCCTTTATGCACGTTTGTCCATAAAATCTTTAAACTCTAAATACTTTACAGTACAAATTTATAATTCTATTAATAAAATTATTAACGAACAATAAATCAAATAGGTGTAATATCTTACCTAATAATAATCCGAATATTTTCTAAAATGAAACCAGGAAACTAAAATCGATCAAAACACTGATATATTAATAAAATTTTGGTTGTGTATTATTTTTTTTAGCAAGAGGTTAATCGTTTTTGTTTTGTTTATTTTTAATTGTAGGCATTTTTTGACGTGAAGCAGTTAAAATTACAATAGAGTTCCGTCTTCCGTCACAGAATAATAAACAATCAGAATGCCCACTCGCCATGGAAAATTAAGTACGCGCATCTCCTTCGCGCAGACGTTCTGCCATGTTTTAGAGGGAACCAGTGTTGTTTATGTGGTGGGCATAGAAAAATTAACCCGGTTTAATTGACTTACGGCAATCATAGACATACTATACAATTATATTAACATTGTTAAATATAATAACATAAATACATCGCATAAATATAATATAATTAAACATAAATATAAACAATTACATAACCTCACAAATCATATGTCTGTGTTATGTTTCCTTCTAAAACATGGCGCGCGTGCTGAAAAACTTCAAAGGTGGCATCTGAGAGTGGTCTTTTTGATTGTTTATTATTCTGTGGTTCCGGCATAGAATAATTTTGTGGAATAATAAACAATTATTCTGTGGTTCCGTCTCCGTTGATAGTGCAAATAAGAACATGATAAAAAAATGGATGCATGTTATGTATATCTTAAAATATGGATATAATTAAACATATTTGGTCCTGCTTAAAGATAAAAATGATTATATTATTTCAATCATAGAATGTAAAGTTCTATGAGTTGACTAGTATGTGTGGACTGTGGACCATTCAAGGGACGACCTAAGCTCTGACGTCACAATGAGCGGGAATTTTAAAAACCTTTCCAAACATTTCTAATTTGTGTGTATTTGTCGCACAAGATGAAAATATTGGTTTTTCTAATCGTTCAAAGAATAAATAAGGACTTTTTGTTATGAAAATTCATTCTGTGCGATCGGTATTATTTGTTGTTCGTGAATTTGTGAGGTAAGAATATCAAAATATTAAGATATTTACTATGAATGTTTATATTATTGTTTGATTAAAACTTTAAATATTTTTTACTATAAAAAAAAAAGGTTAATCTTTGTAAATGGGTATATTTATTTAAAAAACCCTTAAAAGGGCCACATCAATAAAACAAACGTTTTCGGACCACACAGTCCATCATCAGGTTTTTAAAATCGAAAAATGCTAGGTCACAATGCCTGAGCCACCAAAATACTAGGGTAAAAACCCTTTAAATTACCGGGTAATTTAAAGGGTTTTTACCCTAGTATTTTGGTGGCTCAAGCATTGTGACCTAGCATTTTTCGATTTTAAAAACCTGATAATGGACTGTGTGGTCCGAAAACGTTTGTTTTATTGATGTGGCCCTTTTAAGGGTTTTTTAAATAAATATACACATTTACAAAGATTAACCTCTTTTTTTATACGTGGTATACAGCCAGCTACAGGAATTTTTCCTTGTGGATTTTTTACTATATTTCAAACGATTTAGTTGTTGTTTTTATCGGAGTTATTTCAAAATAAAAAAAAATGAAATGAGTACGAATTACGTTGAAGAGAATGAGGTAGAAGCTGCAACTATAGAGGAAGTTCTCGAAGCTATTAAGGTTCTGAAAAAGAATAAATCCCCAGGAGTTGACGAAATACTAGCAGAATTGTATAAGGTAGGTGGCGACCACTTAGCGACCTAGCAAGTCACATCCACGCGCTCATCAAAGAAATATGGCAAGAAGAGAAAATACCCGACGACTGGAAGAAAAATATAGTATGTCCGATCCATAAAAATGGAGACAAACTCCACTGCAAAACTACCGTGAAATTTCTTTACTATGTACAGCATATAAAGTCCTAACGTATATTATAAACCAGCGGCTGACATTAAAAGAATAGCGGGAACAAATTAGAAATACATATGTTGCTCAGGATAGAGACCGTTGGAAGGAGTTGGGAGAGGCCTATGTCCAAACATGGACGATAGAAAGCTAAGAAGAAGATTAGACGGACTTTCTACAGGGAAGATCGGCACTGGATCAAATATTTACAGTCAAACAGATCTTGGGTAAATCATGGAAACATGACATTGATGTTCACAACGTGTTTGTAGATTTCAAACAGGCATACGATATATTGGCTGAATTGGCCATCCCACACAAGCTAATTACACTCATTAAAGCCACAACCCAGACAGCACAGGACATCCCTGGGACGTCCATTTTATGTCGTTTTAAGGTCCAAACGTCCCGGGACTTCTTTTGGACGTCCGAGGGACGTCCAAGGGATATTTCTAGTCGGACATACCAGAGACGTCCCATAAGGTCGTCCAAGGGACGTCCTATTAGGGATGTATTAGGGACGTTTGCTAGGTGTTAACTGTGTCATTTTTTTACTTAAGCATATTTTTTACAAAATATAATCTTCCTACTAAACTTTATTTTAAAAAGTTATATTTAGTTTTAAATACCATTAATTGATACGAAAACAGACAGAGGCTCCTTTTAGAGAAAAATCTTTATCCTATAGCAAAGCTGTATCTCTAAAATTTTGTTCTGTAGTGGAACTGAAATTTAAAAATTAGGAGATAAAAGAAGAATGTGGTTATGTTTTAACGACGCTTCTATTTATCTCGTTTATTTCTCGAATTATAATCATTGTGGTTGTGGTTGTAATTAGAATTAGTTTATTGCTTTCGATACTAGTTTATAGTTTGGTAATTTATTATTATAGACATTAAGTAGGTATATAGGACTTTTATAGGTAATTTTTGTGGTTGTAGTGTGTTGCTACATTTGTAAAGTAAGTAGGAGTAATGTGCTTAAAAAATACTATAAATTTAAATACATATGTTAATATAAGTACACAATAAAAATCCCATTTATTTTTGCTTTTCATTTTATTAATTTTAAGTTCCCTTTAGGTCCTGTATACATCCTCATTTAGGTCCTATATTAGTCCATGTGGACGTACAATAGATGTCCCCAATACATCCTTCTTAGGTCCTATATAAGTCCGTATTAAGTTCTGTATACGTACTATGTACGTCCCCATGAACATCCCTGGGACGTCCAGGGGACGTACTTTTTGGTAACATTTAGGTCTTATTGGACGTCCAAATTATGTAAACGGATGTCCGTGGGATGTCCGGACATTTAATGAGGTACATCCTTTAGACGTCCATGGGACGTACTTGTGCTGTTTGGGAATGGATGAAACTCAAGCGTGTGTATGAATACAAAACCACAGGACAGATTTTTTCAAAATTTCGCAGGGATTAATGCAGGGAGATGGGCTGACCCCAACTTTGTTTAACCTGGCACTGGAGGAACGAGGAAATCTACTGACCAACCAAAAGGTTGGAAATATACGCAGAGTTAAAAACGTAAACAAAAATGCTAGGTCTGTAAATTAACACAGAAAAAAACAAAAATAATGATACAGACGAGAAGAAATACCCAGTAAGCACAAGTACGTACATAAGACGTACTAAGTACGTACTTATGGGACATAAAGTACGTACAATGTACGTACTTTGCTGTACGAAGTACGTACTTAATACGTACATAAAACGTACATTTTCCAAATTATGGTACGTACCTAGTACGTACTGAAAGTACGTACCTGGTACTTACTGAAGGTACATACTTAGTACATATTGAAGGTATGTAGTTAGTACATACTATATATATATATATATATATATATATATATATATATATATATATATATATATATATTATGTACATACTATATACACTTATGATGATTTATGTAAATAAAAGTAAATATAGGTGAATATAAATTTTTATTTTTTTTTAATAAATTCAATTTTTATTCTTTTAAAAATAAGAAAGAAAGTTTTTAAGCGATCCCCGACTCTCTTCAACCATCGTCCAATTTTTTTGCTCCGCCACTTTCTTATCACATTTTTGACACAAAAAACACTCGACTGAATAAAATAACAGGAAACCACAAGCACCAAACACCAAAATTAAGTAAAAATAATCTAAATGAAACTGTCTTGCAATGAATTATCACATCACAACTGTACTCGAGGTGTAAAATTCCTAACTAAATAAATTAGGTTAGGTGAACATAACCTAACATAATAAATATGCTTTAACTCTTCGTTCTCATGGTACATACTTAAGACGTAATAAGTACGTACTGGTATGTACGTACATAAGACGTACTAAGTACGTACTCTTCTGTACGTACTGGTATGTACCCTAATGTACGTACTTAAAACGTACATTTTACATCATGTACGTACAGTACCAAAATTGTACGTACTTAAGACGTACTGTGCTGTTTGGGTATAGTCCCACAAAACAGTATACATGAAGATGACATTGAAACGGTTAGAAAGTTTACATACCTGGGAGTAGAAAAATATATGCTGTCGGATCAGAAAATTGAGAAATACGAAAGAGAATAATGCAGGCAAACAGAGCTTATTTTGCCCTGCTTATTTTGACCACTGTCAGACTTCATTAGAATACAAAGATTGCAATGTGTTGGACTTGTGATAAGAATGGGAGGCTACTAAGGCTAATAAGGATAGGCTACTAAAAAGAGCACTCAATGCTAGAATGCAGGGAAAGAGACCGGTTGGAAAGCCAAGAAAGCGCTGGGAAGACAAAGTAAACAGCGAAGCACAAGCCCTTTTAGGAGTCCGTGTATGGAGAATATCAGCCACAGACAAGCAAGGGTGGAGGCAAAAAATAAAGGAGGCCAAGGCTCAATTTGGGCTGTAGTGCCGTAGAAGAAGATTTCAAAAATTAATCAATAAATTATTGAATTTATTTGCGAAGTTAAAAAATCTTTAAATTCATGCTTTATTCTTTTTTTTTTAAGTGCTATTTTACTTAATTTTGTTTAGTTTTTAATTTTTTTAAACGGCAATTTGAGAAAATGGGTCGTTTTCAAAGCAACACACAGTGTATGTACCTATATTACCATTTTTAGACAACCCGCAGTACACCATATATATATTTTATTTTGGCATGCTTACAGGAATATTACAAGCGCTAAATCATGTCAGACAATCTGTAGGTAATTTGGAATATTTAATACACTTATTAGAATTTTATGGATAAGGAGATAAATTCATTCTTTGATCA